TTATTAACTGCAAATTTCACCAGAATTCAGACACTTTTATCTCCTTTACTCAAATTCCTAAATGCTAACGATGAAAGACACGAGGTTCATCAAATGACAGAAGAGTGGAGTTTCACATACAATTCCTTTGCAAGTTTCAGGTCAGGGGCCCAAGTTGCACTTTTAATCTAGGGAATCCCTGGGCTGCTGTTCTGTGTGGCAGGATACCAGGAAGGTGGGTGAGGAATGAGAGGCACAAGTCCATGCCCCTCCCCCCAAGGCTGCCTGGAGGAAGCAGCTTTAACCTGGATCTCCTGCAGGGGCAAGAATGAACTTAATTGTTTTTTAAAGAAAATGTTGGTGGGATAATCGCTGTTGTTGAAAAAATGTTGGGTGAGGAGAAATTCTATGGGAACTTTTTCTTTTTAGTGTGTTCATAGAGTGGGAAGGGAAAGGGAGTAGGTTCATGAACTTGAACATGAACGTTCGGCCATATCTGCTGTTAATGCTGAGGCAGCTGATCACCTATTTGCTTAGCAACATCTGAGACATCTGCCCCACAAAACAGAAGGATGTCTCAGCCTTCAGTTACTGCTGCTTCTCAAACTCCTGCCTCAAAAACATGGGCTTGTCTAAGAAACCATGATAGTTGTAACCAGACGTCACTGCTGGGCTCTTGGTCCTCACTTGAAACTGGAAACTGGCTGAGGTGTGGCTGCAGCCTGTCCAGGCTCCTGCAAAAGCTGCTGGACTGTGCTGTTGCTTTTGGCTGTGGAGCCTGCTCGTGTGTCCTACAACAGACTCAGAAAGATAGGCTGGAAACTGGTTGTGCTGTCTTGTTATTTGGGCATCAGTGGTTAGGGTCAGGGAGGGATTATAGTTTGATTGGGATAGCAAACTAGAATTTCATCATGCTGCAATCAGTGGAAAATATGCCTTATTCAAAAGGAATGTGATTATAGAAATATCCCCCAATTCTGGGCTCACCTTTTACAGATATTCTGACTTCTGGGCTGGTTCTTCCCACATGACTAGGAATGTTCCTTGAATATACTCGTCTGGTATTACACAAGTAAAAAAGAAAAAAAATTATACACATACACACAGTTGATTCTTGAACAATATAGGTTTGAACTGAGCAGGTCTACTTACACGTGGATTTTTTTCAATGAATATATTCTACACGATCCAAAGTTGGTTGAATCCTTGGATGCTGAACC